GAGCCTGCCTCTTCACCAAGTAAAACTGCAGTCACTTTTCAAGAAGTTGCATTTTTTTTTTAATTCATATCAATATGTCTACTTCTGAATTCTTTATAAACATCTCTTTTCTTTAGGAAGGACATATATATGTCATACCTATGATAAGCCCTTGAGAAATGGTGATTTATGTTTTCACAGAGGCAACTTCCTATCTTCTGATTCATAAACATTATTTGGCTGTACTCCTGAGATTAGTTAAAACATTATTACAGAATAATGTTCTTGAAACAACAAAATTTCAAAAATTTTTGTTGTTCAACTTAACAAAAGAGAAGTAATTTTAAATGTTTCCTATGTCACTAGAGATGGAGAGCTTCTCACCGGCATGTATGACTTCATGTATTCAGATAAATAGAATTTATCAGAATTACAATATATAGGGAAAAAATGGTAACTTATATAATATCATTTTCTTAAGATATAGAAGTGAAATTGTTGTATGACAGAAAGTCATATACAGCTTAATATTAATTATTAGAGTTTTAAAGCAATAATTGACCAGGAAATAAAAGAATGAAAGGAAATGGGTACCATTTTATTTTTTTATTTTTTTTAAGGAAAGCAAGTTAAAGCAAAAGATATAGTAGTGAAACAAATGTGATTTTTATTCCCTTAAAGCACTTAGAACAGATCCTCATACATAGTATGTGACCAATAATGTAAGATGCTCTCATGATGCTATATACCACCATCATAAGCATTTTTACTGGAAAAAATAAAAAGCCATTTGGGCAATTATTTGAATATTCTTATTAATATCTATCAATCTGCAGAGAAACACACTGAATGGGAGGCAAAAAAGCTATGAGGAAATACACTAGAAATACAGCTCAAGAGTAGGTATTTCTCAGCTACTTCCTCATACCTTCATTATCAAAACAGATAGATAAATAATTAGGACATCTCCCAGTATTGGCTGAGTAGAGATAAAAACTACCACTCTTCAGTCAGGTTGTACTACTTTGGTAGTCTATGCCATCCTCCCAATTGTTATTACAATTAAGCCTATTGCTGCTGTCAAGGAGCAAATCCATTTAATTGGTGGTCTTCCTCTTTTTGCTGAAACGTCACTACAAAAAGTATGATGTCCTTTTCCAAAGGAATACAGCCTCCTGAAAATATGTCCAAAATGTGAAAGACAAAGTCTGGCCATATGAGCATCTAAAGAACATCCTGGCTGTACTTCTTCCAACACAGATTTATTTGTTCTTCTGACAATCCATGGTACTTTAAATATTCTTCTCTAACACCATAACATAAATACAATCAATTCTTCAACAGTCTTCCTTACTCATCAGTCAACTTTCACATACATATGAAGCTATTGACAATGCCATCACTTGGACCAGATGCACCTTAAACTGACATCTTTGCTCTTGAACACTTTAAAGAAGACTTGCACAACAGTTTGAAAATCAATATGCCATTTGAATTCTACTGATACTTTCATGAGTGTTGATAGTGGATCCAAGCAAAATGAAGTCTTTGACAACTTTAATCTTTCCTCCATTTACTCTGGGATTATTTACAGGTCTAGTTGTGAGAATTTTACTTTCTTTACCATGAAGTGCAGTCCATATGAAAGACTTTGGTCTGTGAACTTCATCAGTAAGAATTTTAAGTGATCTTCCCTTTCAAAAAGTAAGGTTGCATCATCTGCATATCACAG